CAGCAAACCACCATAAAACAGGGATACCACACAGCACTGGAAAAACTGCTGAGCACCTCCCTGCTCATGTCAGACACTCGGGTGGCTCAGCCAAACCACCTTCCATACAAGGGTTCCATAAATTCACATACTCTGGATCACCTACTATTCTGCAGCTCCAAGCACAATTCCCACCTCACAGGGTGTCCAGCAGTCAGCGTGTTCCTGTCAGACACTTGTAACCCCAAGTCACTGATGCAGCTCCCTCAGCACTCCTGTGACATGAAACACAAAAAAACCCAAACTTTCCCCCACTTAAAGAACTCAGGGATTCAAATGTCAAAGTCCCCAGGTTCACCAGCATCTACACAAAAGGGGAGGAAACTAGGACATTCCAAACTTCATTCCAGAAGTACAATGCTGAGCCTGGTCCTTTGGGGGCTCCTGGGGCGGGAACACCTCTTACTGCCAACTGCATCATCTGCACTCAATCACACCATGATGGACACCTTTGGAAAACAAGGGGTTTCAGCCATATTGTGTCACGCTGCCGCTTCACTCCTTGTCACCTCCCAGCCAGAGTGTCACTTCCCCAGGGTGGGGACCAGAACTTTGAAGAACAAGCTTCGGTGCTCCGTAAAACACACGTAAATAAATAAACCCATCCAAACACTCCCCTCGCTCCCCAGGCCACAACCTGCCCCCAGCACTTTTACTTTCCCAAGAGGTCACACCCAGGAACGCCCTTGCACAACAATGGAAGCAGAACCGGCCTCAATACCTACAGATCCCTTCCTGAAATCCAGCCTCCCTGTGTCACCTGGGCTGGGTGGCTCAGGAATCTTCCTCTGTGAAGTTACAGACTGGTAGTTACTGGAAATGATGATCCCTTGCATTGTCTATGTTATGAGCTTGTTTTAATGAACTTTTTCCTAAATACAACTGTGATTTTTAAGTGTACATTATGTTAATTGATCTAAATCTACATATTCCTAACTCAAAACTGTACATTGTTCAGTGTAGGTTACATTAGTGGATATAAATGTACAAAATCCCAACTCCAAAGTAGATTTCTTTTAAAAATTAGGATTTTTGTGGTCGCAATACAGTCTTATTCTCAAAGAATAAGATTATTCCAAACTAAGTAGAGTCAAGGAAAAAACCCCCAACTACTTTCCTTCTTTTTAGGCAATTATTGGCATGGTTTTCTCTAGTTCAAAACACAAGAGGAAGGAGGACAAGGTTGTATTTGGTTGTGGGTTGGTCTCATCAATAACTCCCATCTGTGCCGTGGATACACTCGGAGCTGAATTACACCCAAGGAACAAGTCAAGCGAGACATTTTTCAAAGCAGCCCCTGCTCAGCTCAGGTCTGTTCATTAAGGTGCTGCATTGTGCTCCAGCTTGGCTTATTAGCAGTGGAAAGGTCAGAGAAAGTGAATTAATGGAAGTGCTGCGCTCTCCAACATCTGACATGCAAGAGAGGAGCCTCCCTACCTACACTTCTCCTGAAAGGTACGTTCAAATTGAGGGCATGTAGGTGGCACCTGCCAAAAGTGGCATGTGAATAACATTGGCAATTTAACAAATTCTGGGAAAATACAGAGAACTGTAAAAGCAGCAATTCAACCACTCAAAGCAAATGCTTGTGCTGAGATTACAGTTGAAAAAGCAGCTTTTTCACGGGGACAGGGGGAAGGATTTAAAGCTCTTTCCTGTAGGTCTCAGCAGGGTTTTGTGTCCAAAAACTCAAGGCCTGTTTGACACACAAAGAAGCCCAGACTCACAGTTAAGCCACCTCTACTTAACCTCTGCTGGCAGTGAAGATACAGCTTTAAAAATTAAATTTAGACTTTGTCACTTCAGTGCTGTCCAACAGAGCACACACAGCCTGGACACGCAGGTTTACTGCTCCCAAGGGCTGTGAAGACCCATCTCCCACACAGGTACGACAGCGTACAAGCACCATGGGATGCTCTCCAAACCCACCTCCCCTTCCCAGGCCAACCTAGGCATCAGCACAAACCCAAACTGGATCCTGTGAAACACTCCAGAGAAACCTGCACTTGGAGAGCCACCCAGCTGCTTTACAGCACTCCCAAAATCTGTACTTTTTCAGGAGAAAGGGCTCCACAGCAAAAGTCAGCAAAGCCACAAACCACACAGCTCTACCTCTTTAATGCTCCATAGAATCATGGAATGGTTTGGGTTGGAAGGGACCTCAAAGCTCATCTTGTTCCACCCCTTCCATGGGCAGGGACACCTTCCACTATCCCAGGTTGCTCCAAGCCCCGTCCAACCTGGCCTGGAACACTTTCAGGGATGGGGCAGCCACAGCTTCTCTGGGCAAGGTGTGCCAGGGCCTCACCACCCTCCCAGGAAGATTTTCTTTCCAATATCTCATCTATCCCTGCCTTTAGGCACTGGAAGGGGCTCTAAGGTCTCTCCAGAGCCTTCCCTTCTCCAGGCTGAAGAACTCCAACTCTCTCAGAATTATTAACATGGTACTAGTAATTCCACTTGCCCGTGGCTTCCCCTCCATTCTCCAGGCCCTGCTTCATAACACATCAGCTTCTCCCCCTGAAAGCCAATGTTCCCATATCCCAGGACCCCATGGAAAGCCGCTCTCCTCGGCTCAGTGGTGACCAACATGCTAAAGAACAAAGACATGCTGGTGTTTTATTTTCCAACACCTCTAATCTGGAAGGGATAAGAATTGAAATACATAGAAAAAAGCCAGCAAGCTCATCAGAACACTTCTATGCAGAGAAATATCTTCCTGGTGGAATACTGAGCTTGATTCCCCTCAAAGCAGTAAAAATTGAGACCCATATACGAGCACATTTAAGAGCATTAATAGAAAAACATGGAGCATTTAAGTGAAGTCACGTTCCAGCTAAACAACGCTCCCATTATTGCAGCATCTGACTTTCCGAGGACAATTCAATCCTGGCAGCCTGGATTGTAATTGCTTTTCCACTACAGGCCTCAGCTTTACACTCGTGCCCTTCTCAGGAGGTCAGAGCACGGCTCAGCTCGGAAAACAATTCTGCTCCGTGCTCCTCATTCATCCTTTTAATCCCACACCTGCATATTCATTAGGAACTCCCTGAAACACCACTGCCAAGGCCACCACTAAAGCTGCTGCCTGGAGAAAGCCTTGGCCCCTCTGCTTCCCTGCGAAGGTGTTGGGAACACACAGATCTCTCCAGCTGTTGGTGCTGGGGAGCAACTGAGTCACCAAACCCCAGGACAAGCCCAACGTGGTGCAGCCGTTCCTGCTGCCAACAGGAAAAAGAAGATACCACTGCCCAGAAAAGTGGCTGCCCCATCCCTGGAAGTGTCCAAGGCCAGGTTGGACAGGGCTTGGAGCAACCTGGTCTAGTGGAAAGTGTCCCTCCCCATGGCAGGGCATGGAAAGAGATGGGCTTTAAGGTCCTTCCAACCCAAACCTTTCTGTGGCTACGACAAATTCGGCTTGTTTTGAGTAAACCCTTCCAAACAGGGTCACTCAAATACACCTGAATATTGGGTAAGTTTTTGTTACCCTGCTTTTAAAAAGGCAGTTTGCATTCAAAAAGCCAAACACCATTTACTTCAAAACTCAGAATTAAACATCTTCGTCCCCCTTTTTATTAGGAAATAAAACAGGCAGCAAACAGCAACCAGCCTGGTTTATCACTGATGTCAGGGTTGAGCCAGGTTTCTCAGGGCCCTGCCGAGCTTCTAGGAAGGATGAAGGAGCTCCTGCACACGCTGGGAAAAGGGCTCAAACCTGATACACTGTAATTACTTAACGGCCCAGGGAGAGTCACTGATGCCTGCTCTGCTTTGTTCCACTGTGAAAGGCTTCTCCTGCTATTAATATTCACCAGGGGAAGCTGAAATAACATCTTGTCTCCACCTGAATACCTTGCAATTATTATGGACACGCTAAATACAATGATTTTTATTTTCCCCCCTCAAAATCCAGGACAAAAGGCACCTTCCAGCCTGTAAAGGCACCTGATAGGGCAGGGCTGGACTTCCACATGGAGCAACTCCCCTTCACCAACAGCCTTCCTCGCGATGACAACAACTTCAACACAAATAATCCCACTGCAGCAGGAACCCAGAGGTCAGCCAAGGACCAGAGCCCCAAGGCAGGAGCCACACACTGGAGTTATACACTGGGAGCCTTCTCCATAGGATTCCTGGGCATGCTGGGGGTGACCTTGAACCCCTCCATGACATGCACCGCCCAGATGAGCTCACACAGCCTTTAATCAGCTCCCAGCACATCAAACCACCAGCACTGCAGAAACACCAGCCACAACAATCCCAAAAAACCAGCCAGAACAACCCCTTGCCTCCAGCTCCATCCACACCACCGGGACTTCCAGGACAGCACCAGCCTCTACCATGAAACAGAGGCAAAAATCTCATTTTTCCCCCTAAACTGCACTCTACAACAGCCTGTTATTTCTACATCTGCTAATGCTCTCAAAAAGTTGAATCCTAACACTGAATCAAACTGTAGTCTCAGCAGATTGGGAGGTTTCTCTGCCCAAAATGAAACGTAGGTGCCATCTGTTTCAATTAGACTAATCACAAGGAAACATAACATTGGGAAACTAATAGACTTTGGGTTTTTTCAAGACATTTTGAAAGCAAAGAGAAAGAAAGAGGACCATGATATTATTTAATACTCAGCACCACCAACAACCTGCACAGTCTGCTGGGGAAACCTGTGCTGGAACTGCCCAGGCAGGAAATTTCACTTTTATTTCACTGAAGTCAGGGAAAAACTTGATATAATCAAAATTGTCTAAAATTAAAAAGGCACCTCAGAACTACAGACAGCTCCTAAGATATTCCTGGTTAGTACCTTTTTATCATCCCATGGAATTTGCAATTTTTACCTTCAAAGTTCAGAAAATAAAGACTTTTAAAAAAGGCAAAACCAAACACTCCAACAGGGACACGAGCACTTATTAGGGAATAAACCAGAATATTTAGATAGAAATAAAGTCAATATTTACCGATTCCATAGTTGAAAGCTCTTCTTAGCAGGACATATATTAAAATCCAACAGAGGTGTGTCCCAAAAACGCTGTGTAATCTGAAAAACAGAGGAATAGGTCCATTAGAAAATTAAACCAAGGGAATTTTATTCACAACACGCACGCTGGATTTGGGTACATGAAGGTTACCAAGTACAAACACTTGCCTAATCCAGAAATAAACTCCCTGATAACAAGTCTGCACAAACAGAGGAACACAAGGATAGTGGAAGCTCAGCCGAGCATCCATCACACTCCATAACTTTCTGATAATAGATTAAAAAAAAAAAAAAATCACTTGTCTCAAGGTTTCTGTGACCATCTGTGTGGTTTTAGAACCATTTTATTTACAAAAAAAGGTATGTCAGCCCCCAAACTGTGAGCAGCTCATGAACCAAAGACAGGCAGAGCCAGCATGAGCTCCCACGCCAGAAATTCACCTTCCCAAACAACTCACGGGATTATCCACAACACCACCACTCTCTTTCCAAGCACACCTTTGCTCTGAACAGCAGTGAATCCACTACGAACCTCTAACTTTATTTTCCAACCAGCTGTCATTGTACTTCAAGGATATTTTTCCAGCTACAAATTCCCGAAGTGAAATTTCCGACGCCAGGCAGGAACCAGCAGGAGCTCTCAGCACCCAAAGTGAAGGGGAATTACAGTCATTAACTGGCACATGAAAGGGTTGGCAGATTCCAAGCTCAAATCCTGCACTCCTCATGTTCCCAGGTCAGACAAGTCAGCCCAGGCTGCTCCATCCTGGAGGTCCCCCGGCTCTGCCCATGTCCCACCACCACGTCTGCTCACAAACAAATTCCCCCCCAGGCAGAACAAGCCAGTCAGTTCCAGAGGAGATCCCCCAAGAGTCACAGTCATCCCCTGCAGAAGGGCTGAGTTTGGAATGGCACAGCTTCCTGGGAACCTGCACAAGTCACAGGAGAAAGGAAAAATCTGAACTACAAATAAGCCTGTTTGGGGGCTGGCAGTGTGGAAGAGCAGAGCTTGGACACAGCCACGTGAAAAACACTGCCTTATCCCAGAAAAAACGGAGCTTCTGCTACACTTTCACAGAGAAACAGGTCAGGAAAGGAACTTTTTGCAAAGAAATAAGCTGCTGATGCACTGCAGGTCCAACTGCTAAAGCCCAGCTCCGGAGGAGAGCAGCAATACCTGAGGCACTGGGAGCACTGGGCCTTCTCCAGTCCAACTGCAGGTACTCTGCCCTGTACAAAGAGGTGAAAGGGTGAACTCCAAGCTCCACATCCTGCTCATGCCAAATTCCCCAAAATTCCACATCCCATCTCTAGACACTGCAAACCGCACTGAGGGCACACAGTGACCAACCCCTGTTCCAGTTGACAGTGGGAAAATCTGGATTTCTCCCAAATTACCCTTCCTTCTAAAAACAGAAGTGCTAAACCCCAATTTTTTACTCAAAAACTCACATATATAAAGTTACAAGTGGGGAACTACAAAGTACAAAACACTTCAGCTTTTGTTTGCTCCACTTCCAGCTGCCCCTTTCCAAGGGCTAAAGATTCCCCAACTCCAAGACCACCATGACTCCTTGGACCTCCACGTGCTGATGGTCTTCCTCCTCTTCCTCCTCTCATACTCACTGAGAACACTCAGCTTCTTGTGTTCTTTCCCCAAACGCTCCCACAGAATCATTTAGGCTGGAAAAGACCTCTGGAGATCATCGAGCCCAACCTTTAACCCAACACCACGTTGTCAACCACACCACGGCACTGAGCGCTCTCACATCCATGTTTTCACTGTGGGGATCCAACCACTGCTTTTAAACCTTGTTGTATCTATTATTCCTCTTCCAAATTCCATCGGCACAACTTCCAGGCCCAGCTCCCTCACATCACGCTCTGGAGCCTGACACTTCTTTAAACAGCATCAGATTTAGTTCCCCATAACGTTATCACACTGGGACTGGCCTTGCAGAGCAGGTGACAATTTTATACTTTATTGCTGCTCATCACCTTACAACTTCTGATTTAGCTGGATTTGGACATCTGCCTTCCAAGAATCACCCAGGAGAGACCCTAAGGCCAGCCAGGACAGACACACAGTGGAAGAGATAAGGAACCCCCAGAGAGCCTTATTTGTTTTGGGAATCTTTCACTCCCCAACGAAGAGCCAAAGGGAGGATGTCCAGATGAGCAACACAGCTGCATCCAGGGCAGAGCTGCTTCCAGCTGAGCCAAGGGAAGTCTTTGGAACCTCAGTGAAAAGGAGCAGGCCAATATAAACCCAAAAACCCAGAGGAACACATACAGGCACACAGTCCTGACTCAAATAAAGGAATCCTGCAGCAGGTAAACTTCTCCAGACAAGCAAAGAAAGTTTTTTGACATTTTTCTTTAAGAAGAGCAGGAGATACATGGCTACCTCATGGATTTCTCCGTGGCCAGGGAGTCCTGGAGCACTAAGGGATCCCCTGACATCAACTGCAGCCCTATGGAGCACAATAATACTTGCACAGCAACTTTTCCAGCAGGATTCCCCTTCTCATTAGTGCTGCTTTGGGGCAAGAAGTTGTTTTTGGATTCAAAGTCAGACTTGCATCAATTCAGATTTTCTGGTGATCCAGAACTAAGCAGCGTAACAGGATTTCAGGATGAGATTTAGATTCTGGTTGAGACTAACTTCTGAATGGAAAAAATCTCCAGGGACTAGGAGAGCCTTTTTCCACAGCACTCATCTGCTTCCCTCACAATAATTCCACAAAGAGACAGAATTTCAATGAGGCAGCTCTCCGAGGGCTCCAGTGAAAATATACTCAGGGGAGCCCATGGGACACCACGGAGCTCCTGCACTCAGATAAGCTCCATTTCCTCCAACACAGAATCAAGAGGGATCACGAACAACAAATTTGGAGGGAGGGGAAATCCAGAAGTGTTTTTCAATGCACTTCATAGGCATGTTCAGCACAGCTTTGTGCCTGCCTGACCACACTGAGACAGCACAGTCAGAGCTTTCACCTGCTGGAATGGGGAAAAGAGTTGTTTCCAAGAAATCCCCATAAATTTGAGATAAATATCCAGCTGCAGTGCCCTCCAGCCTATCAGCAGCTCCCAGCCCAGCCATCTCCAGGCACACACACAAACTGTCATGTTCCACAGCCACTCTCGCCCTTTACGGAGAGATTCCCAGCAACAGGGTAAGCTCCAGGAGCTGCCTTTCACTATAGTTTCCAAATATTTCCACAGCAATCACATCCCAACTATGCTCAAACAGCGTCAATTACTCAAGTGAAAAGCCAAAGGACAGAGAGAATTCCACTAGTCCTCAAAAAAACCTCTCAGTGTTTGAATGTGACAAAATCGTACCATCAAATAAAATTTAATTTGATGGCTTTCATAACTGAAGTAGGTGATATATTCTCAGTCTTAAAGTTCCTTTATTTTGCCCTGAAAATAATAGGTATGCTGAGATCTACAGTTTTTAAAGCTTCTGTCATCTGTGCCACTTGATAAAAAATACAAAATAACCTGGTACTGTCCTCAAAAACACAGATCAAGACACTGGTGTGGGTGAAAAGCCCAAGGGTCAATTTCTCCCATTGTAACAAGCATGAAAGAAGATGTGATTCCTGTGGAACTAAATTGATCTTTCAGTGTTTTAACTGAAAGTCTCACATGGACAACACAGACTACAAGGAACTGGGGGTTGACAGAAGCCTAAATTCAGGAATGACCAAGCTGCCTGGAGACCTCCAGTGAACTAAGAGAGGTCAGGATCTGTGATGACAAATCACACAATCCCAGAATGGTTTCGGTTGGAAGGGCCTCAAAGCTCATCTCATTCCAGTCCCTGCCATGGGCAGGGACACCTCCAAGCCCCATCCAACTCGCAGGGATGGGGCAGCCACTGCTCCTCTGGGCAACCTGTGCCAGGGCCTCACCACAATAAGTATTTTTAACATGTTTCACATATTCCTCAAGATCTGTGCAAAAAAAAAAAAAGGGCAGTTAAACCGTTTTATATCGTAAATGTTTTAATTTCATTAAGCCAAAAAACTAATTATCAGCAGAAGCTGAACATTTCACAGAGTTTATCCCTTGTAAGCACACAAGATGCAGCTGAGCAGTGAACTCTGAATTGCTGGACATACCAACATCACTACTGGTTATCTGGTCTCTTCATACCAGATATTTAAAGTTTGCTACCATGACACAGGATATCTTAGAATCATCAACCTCTAAAACTACCTATTGTTTCTCCTGGAAAGATCCACAAAAGCAGCCTGAAAGGTACTTGGCAGAGTAAAAACCTGGGGCTGTCAGAAGAGCCCCAGCTCCAAAACCCTGCAGGAACTTGGAGAATCTTGGCATGATGTGGCACAGTAGCCAAACAAGCCCCAATAGCTTCCACTGAACCAGACTTTTCAGTTCTGTGCACACAATTAGGAGTGCTGGAAACACAGGAGCACGTTCCCTCTTCTCCTCCTTCACTCTGACCACCCTTCTGTGGCTTCTCCGAGGAGTGGAAAGTCCTAAGTCAAAACAGAGCTGCTGGGACTGCTCTGAGCAGCCTTGGGCTGCAGCTCAAGGCTGCACCAGCAACCACCGACAAGACCAGGGCTGAGGACACTGTTTGCCATGATTTAGTCTGCCCAAGCTAAAAAAAACCCTCCTCTTGTTTTAATAATGGTAAATGCCTTAAAGACTGTGCACTGTTATCCCAGAATCATTAAGGTTGAAAAAGCCCTCCAAGACAATCCAGTCCAACCTGTGACTGATCTCCACTTTGTCACCCAGCCCAGAACACTTAACTGCCACATCCAGGCGTTCCATGGACACCTCCAGGGATGGGGACTCCACCACCTCCCTGGGCAGCCCCTTCCAATGCCTGACAGCCCTCTCTCTCCATGAGGAAATTCTTCCTGAAATCCATCAGCAAATGGATAAAGAAGTCTTAACTACACAAGCAGCACCTGCCTAACAAAAGCAATAACTTCCATCAAGTGGCCTCTCTGTCACAAATAGAAGTAAGAAAAAGGTCGAAACACCCAAAAATAATTGTCCACCACCCCTTCAGC